TCTCCCCAGCGGAGGGCACTGCGGGATGGCGGCGCTGGGGCCGCCGGGCGCTCCCGCATCCCGCTCCCGCATCCCGCTCCCGCATCCCGCTCCCGCATCCCGCTCCCGCCGCTCCGCCGCCGGATCCCCAGCCCGCTGCTGCTCCAGGAGTGCTGTAAACCTGCTTCTCCCTACCTGCCTGCCGTCGGGAATGGGAGGAATAAATAATTTTCCTCCAGTCTCGTACAAGCCGATTCGCTCAGCCCTGCGGCATCCATGGGCCGGCAGGTTCGGAGCGTGCCTGGCAAAGCCGCGCATGGGGCTGGGGGCTCCGGGCTGCTGCGGGCACAGAGGTGCGAGAAAGTGCTCATGGAACGGAGCTGTAGTGAGCACACAGAGCAGAGTCAGGAGAGCCAGGTTTTCCTCCTACACTCGCATTTAGGGTTCATTAGCCTGGGTGTTATTACTGCAATTTCTGCCTCACAAGAAGAAATTTGACTATTAAGTCACAAGTGAACGTAAAGTGATTTGAGATCGCGGATAAGAGACTGGTAGGAGTGAAGAAGTGTTATCTCAGCCTTCAAAAAGCTTGGTTCAGCGTTTGACCTTAGGTACTAGTTTCTGATCTGATTTGACTATCCTTAGTCACCTCAGATTGTTGCTCCACATTTTAATACCAGACACTAGTTATTTCCATGCCACCATAGCATTTATTATGTGTGATCTTTTCTGCTGAACTAGTGAAGCTCATATACTTGATTACAGTAATGATGGGCAGTTATAAAAAATAAATAGAGCTGTCTGAAGATTTCTAATTGAGTTCTCTTCAAGACTGCCTAGAACTCATCATGACTGCATGCTGGGAACCTGCCTTGTTTAATGGCTTTTCTTTGGACTGACATTTTCAGATCTCTTTATTCTTAGTCTCACCCTATTGTTTTCAGGGTGATCTTTGTCGCCCAGCCTCTTTAACTCTAGGGAGAGATGTGCTATTCTTTCCATACCATCCAGTTTTGGTATGCAGGACAAAACCAGAGGCAACATGGCCAGGATGGGTAATGGAGAGAGATTGCTCTTCACTGCCTTCCCTGTTGGGCCAGAAGCTGCATCGACCATGGTGTGTGGGAGTGGAGTGTGTGCCTGGAGAAACACAGGTTGTGTGGCTCTGGAATGGGGTGCAGGAGCAGGGCATGCTACAGACAGGTTGTAACAGGCACTTTGGAGACTGGCTGTGATTCCACAAGCTGGTTTGACTGGTCCACACCAAGCTTTCCTCCAGCAAGGTGAGTTTTCACTCCAGGAGCATCTTTTGTCATTTTTCAATGTACATTATCACTAGTTCTCTCTTCCCTCACATTAGGTGGCCTGTCTATCCCATAAAAAATGTTATATTTTTATTGCTTAAGAGGGTTAACTTACTGTGAAGGCTAGGTTTGGCTTTTGCACTGCATGCAGTGCTTGTGACATAAGTGTGTTGAGCACTGTCACCGGGATCAAGAAATGACTTGTATTGTATTTTTTATTTCAAAATGGAGCTGGGATTCTCCCAAGGTCTTTCTTTCTCAGCTAGTGTTTCCTTTGTAAATTTGGGCATTTTCCCTTATCTCCCAGTACTGGTTTCCTCTTGTAAAAAACTGCTGTTGCTTTCTTCTACAAGCCACTTTCTGGTGTCTAGAGATATGTCCTCCAGAGGGAACCTGGAAAAAGCCCAGGCTCTGAAGCTGGGGTGAAAACACTGTGGGTAGTGTGTGCACAAAGGCACCGCTGCCTCCAGTTTATCCACCCCTCCTGGGACAGTTTTGAGGACCCCAACACTTTAAATGTTGTGTAAGAAAGGAGAAACACTCCTTATGTGCCAGTCTAAGCCTCCCCAAGAAAGCCTGGTCACATTTGTATTATTTCAATATACAAGAATTTCCTAATTCCTTATTTTCTCAAAGCCCCTTCCCAACCAAATGATTGATTAATAAAGCTTCAGGCACTTCTGCTGCACAGGGAAAACTTTGGAGCACACTTCCAGCTAGCTCCCAGGGGCTGAGCAGCAGGGCCCAGGGGATGTACCACGTCCCTGCTGAGGCTCTGCAGCACACCTGCACTGCTGTGCCTCCTTTTAAGAAGCCCACCAAAAGCTAGGCCAGCTCTCTGGGAGGCTGTAGGGTTTTTCAGTTTTTGCAGCAGAAGAAGAAAGATCTCTAAGATTTCCTTTCTGAAGAAGGAGCATGTAAATTAAGGAGAGGTCCTGGAGAAAAAAAAATTTAAAAAGAGAGCTCTCCAAAGGTATCTTGCTTATTAGAGAAGGAAAAAATCCCAAACCATGTTTTTCTGCTAATTTGGTCACTTGCCTGAACAGAGCAGTTTGGCCTTTCTGCGGGAGGCTCTCAGTTGCCTTTATCCAGCCCCCAAAATGCTGCCATACAAGTTGTGTTGTGGGCCACATCAGTGACAGTAGAACTTTCCCTCAGCTCTCTGGAGCCAGTGTGTGTGGGTGCTGCCCCTGCCCACGGATGAGCCTATGCCAGCAGGGATGCTGGTGGCACTCCTGCTCTGCAGGCCAGGGCTTGGGCCATGGGTCTCCTTGGGCTGTGTTCAGTAGCTCTCTGACAAATTTATGGAGAAGGCAGTTTGTTGTCAGATCCTGAAAATTAACATGTCATTTCTATCACCTCACCAATACTTTTTGGATCTTCATAGCAAATTTAACCTTAAAGTTTGATAAAGTGCATCCTAATAATATGAAGTTCCTTGTAGCTGTGAATTTTTATTTTTCATGTACCTAAATGCCTTGCTGTTTGTGTTTCTGATTGTTTTTCCCTATCTACAAATTTTATGCTGATTCACAAAAATCTTCACTTCTAAGTTAGCTTCTTTAGCTCCATTTCCTCAGGTTTGTGTTTCTAGTGATTTTAATTTTGCCTCATTTTCATTTGTTTAACCTTTACATTATTACTCAGTCACTTCCAAAGCAGGCATCTTGTTTACCTGTCTAGCTCTGAGACTCTTTTTTTTTTTAGTTCACCTGTAGCACCTCTTGGCTCATTCTGGAGGAGGTTAAGCCAAAGGGCTACTTCTTTCTTTTACTAGAAATGCTTTTATCTCAGTGCTAGCAACCTGCACCAGCAGCCTGCAAGAGATATATCTAAACAAATTCTCAGAAAGGACTTGTGACTACCTCGCCTCTGTCTTCCTTGCTAGAACCTGGTGGAGGGGAAGGAACTCAGATTTTTATCTGCAGAACTGATTGTGCTATGTGGGTCTTCCCCATCAGGAAGACTGACAGCTGAGAAAAATGCCACATTGATTTAATAACAAACGTGAAAAAATGTTTCCAGCAGTATAGAAAAATAATATGGCCTTTTCAACTTACAGCTATGCCAATATTCAGATGCTGGTCAGTTGGGGTATAAATAGGTACCATGTGTAAATCCCAGTGGAATTTCCTTTGCATTTAAGAAGTTAAAATTATTTTTCCCATCAAAGAGTTAGGAGCATTTTAAATTACTCCTTTTCATGTTCCTGGCAACTTTGTAGACGTGGGATCTATTAAGTCAGGAGATCTTTGAAAGGGACACCAATAATCAAGTCAGTGCTCAATGAAACAAGGTTTTTCCCACAAATCATGACTGATATCTGTGTCATTAGTAGGGTAGCTGCCCATCTCTTATCATGATTGGCAGGTTAATAAGGGACCTGGGGCTATCTTTTCACTGCTAGCACACAACCTAACCAATTGCTTTTAAATGATTGCTAATTTGACAGAATATAAGCAGAAGATGAAAAAATATCTGGAATAATGTCTAATGCAGTTTTTACTCCTGGTTTTCTGAGTGCTCTCATTTAGAAAACAGATTAGAATGTTAGTTAATAGATTTTAATTTTTGTTCTGGACACTCAGTTTTAACGAAAATCTTGTAGTTGTTCTTTGGTTCAATTAGGACCAAAAGAGAAGGGAGTTTTGTAATGCAATTGTCCTGTAAAGGAAAATGTTTTAAATTGGGGAGATTATGTGAGCAGACCACCTGTAGGGCATTCATAGCTCTTTTCTATAATGCTCCAAGCCATGCCTTGCTGCCTGCAGTCTGGCTAACAATGCAGGGAAAAGCTGTTTAAAAGGCTGTTCTCCCTTTTCCCTCTGGTGTTCACTAACTGTTACAAGTCTTCCTCTTAAAATAAAAAAAAAAAAAAGTCCCATGTCCCTTTAATTGAAGAACTTTAAGGCTCCATGGTGGCCAATTGGTCTGCAACAAGAGGAACCAGGCAGCAGGGAAAGAAACTTCAGACTATACATCACGTTTGGTGAAGAGAAAAGATCAAAGTTTTCCCAAACTCAAAAGAAACCAAGTTCCCTACAGATTAACCCTATTCATTTAGCTCCTCTTAAAGGAATGATGTTCTGAGCCACTGGGCAGACAGGTAAAAAGTTCAACAATTGCCAAAGCATTCTTCTGTTAATTCAACAGCCTTCTGCTCAAATAAATTAGCTTACTCCTGACAGAAGAACAATACCTTTTCTCTTGAAAAAGGACCATATTTGATATACAAAAGTTAAGATGTTAGTTTAATCTGTTAAGAAGAGATTGATCTAACAAATCGCAACTCACTGCTCCCACCATAGTACGTGAGCTACGAATTTAAAACATTCAGCTTTTACACTTCAGTATGCATCCCAGGAAAGGCAGGTGCTTCCAGAAGTGTAGACAACAGATATGAGAGGCAGGTGTGCACATTCCTAAAATAACACTCCTTCTAAAAGGATACTTAACATGCCATGGGAGTGTCTTTTGTAAAGGCTCAAAGACACCATCATCTTTCAAAAAAAGGTAAGAAATATGGTAAAGCACCTCCCAGTTTTGGCAAACACTTTATCAGAACAACTTGTTGAATGACTTGTTTTCTTGTGTCTACTTATCTCACTTCTTTAACAGGTAATGACTGGAGCATGAATGTAGTTCAGTTTATGGAACTACCTAAAAATACAGCAGCTGGAATAACCAGGGCAGGAGGAGCGGAAAAGCTTGAAAAAGTCATTTATCAAAAGTCATTTTATTGACAAAATAGAATACTCATATTTGCTCTTACAGGGGTAGCCTCTAAATTTTTACAAAAAAATTTACAGACTGTATAGCTTTGGATATATACATATTTTACACATCTGTACAAGGTAACAAATAATTATATAAATACATCCTTTAATGTAGGAAACCCGTATTTAGCTGGGGTGTATAATTAAGACATTTTTTGATTCAGTCAATGTTGTAAGGCATTTGCCTGGTCATCCACATCCCAAAAACCTGCAGTCCCCAGCAGACTCCCACCTCAGGACGGGGGGGAGGAAGACCCTCCCTCCCATGAGTAAAGAGCTGCTGTTAGTCCAGAGTGATTCAGAAGCTGCTGTGCCTTGCCCTCTGCAAGACACGGGTGAGCCTCTACCCTCCTCTGCCAGCAAAATAATAAGCTGGCTCCTTGAAGTACATGCTCCCTGCATATGAATGGAGGGGAAGGAGGAGGGGGCTGGAGCCTGGGGCCTCTGCCAGCTGCATTGTTCTATACAAGCTGTGGCTAATAAGGACCATTAGGGGTTCATTAATGGCACCAAACAGTGAGGAGGCATTTTAGGCTGGCCAGTGTCCCTCAATCCCTAACCTTTGGCCTCTTTCCCCCTCCTCACACTTGAGACAGGGGCATCTGCTTGGGATAGGAGACAGAGCTGGCGGTGCCTGATCTCCACGTCAGGCCGGTGCTGACATCGCTGTAGAGTGATCCACCACCTCCGGCCCCAAGTCCTCCTGCCGTGGTGATGACTGCCTGTCCACCTGCTCCTGCCCCTGTGCTCCCAGCCACGGCAGCACCTTTGCTGGCCCAGCAGCAGCGGGTGCAGAGGGCCCTCCAGGACTCCAGGGTCTTGCCAGACCAGACCCAGACCCCAGAAGTGATGCCCACCACCAGGCACATGAAGTACTTGAGCATGAAGACGGCATAGTCAGGGCGGCGGGCCTGGTCAGGCTGCTGGTCACGCAGGCAGGGGCAGTTGTGCGTGGCCTCCCAGCGGGGCCGATTGTGCTGCTCGTAGAAGAGGCAGGCAACCACGCTGGCAGCTGGCACGGTGTAGAGCACGGTGAAGAGTCCCAGGCGTATCATCAGCTTCTCCAGCTTGTGGGTCTTGGTAGGGCCACCCTGCTGCTTGATGACGCTGCGGATACGGAAGAGCGAGACGAAGCCAGCGAGCAGGAACATGGAGCCGATGGCCAAGTAGATGAGCAGAGGTGCCAGCACAAAGCCCCTTAAGTTCTCCAGGCTCTGGTTGCCCACGTAGCAGATGCCAGCCACGGGGTCCCCGTCCACAGAACTGAGCGCCAGCACAGCGATGGACTTGACGCTGGGGAGCAGCCAGGCGGCCAGGTGGAAATACTGCGCGTAGCCCGCGATGGCCTCGTTGCCCCACTTCATGCCCGCCGCCAGGAACCAGGTGAGGGAGAGGATGACCCACCAGATGGAGCTGGCCATGCCGAAGAAGTAGACGAGCAGGAAGACCACGGTGCACAGCGCCGGGCCGGTGCTCTCGTACCGCACGTGCTCGGCCACCGCCAGCTCCGGCTGCAGCTCGGCCGCGCCGCCCGCCGCGCTGCGCCCGCCCGCCGCCGCCGCCCCCGCGGCCGCGCCGCCGCCGGCCCCCGCCGCCCCGGCCCCCGCGCCGCCCGCGCCCGCCCCACCGCTGCACGCCACCTTCTCGTGCCCCGCCACCAGCCGCACCAGGTAGCCCAGCGACACGAAGAGGTAGCAGGCGGCCAGGAAGATGATGGGGCGCTCGGGATACTTGAAGCGCTCCATGTCGATGAGGAAGGTGGAGACGGTGGCGAAGGTGGAGAGGAAGCAGAGCACGGACCAGAGCCCGATCCAGAAGGCGGTGAAGGCGCGCTCGTCGGGGCTGAAGTAGGGGTTGTGGCAGGGCAGGGCGCAGTTGGCGATCTGCCCCGTCTTGACGCGGTTGTAGAGCGGGTGCCGCTCGCTGGACACCGACACCATGGGCGCCCGGCACTGGCAGCCCGGTTCGCAGGGCGGCGGCGGCCGCGGCTTGCGCGGAGCCTCGGCCGGCGGGGCGGCGGCGGCGGGGGGCGCCTTGGCGGGGGTGCCGGGCTTGGAGCCGCGGAGCGGGGGCTTGGCGGGCGGCGGCGCGGCCGTGGTGAGGTCCGTGCGGTTGTAGTCCATACAGAGCGTGTCCGGGCTGCCCTGCTCGGGGAGGCGGTCGCAGCGCATCCTGTCGGGCCAGGCGAAGCCGTACTGGCGCATGAGCGGGGCGCAGCCGGCCTTGGCCCGCTCGCAGACGCTGCGGCAGGGCGGCAGCGGCTTCTTGTAGTCCTCCAGGCAGATGGGGGTGTACATGCTGCAGAGGAAGAAGCGCAGGTCGCTGGAGCACTGGATCTCCACCAGCGGCCAGAACTGGTGCACCTCCAGGCCGGCCTCGTCCTGCGTGTCGTGGTTGAACTGGTTGGGCATGTAGGTGTAGTTGTAGCCGATGCCCTTGCAGAGGGGCACGGTGATCTCCTGGCACGACAGCTCCTTTGCCGAGGAGGAGGAGGAGGAGGAGGACGCGGCGGCGGCAGCCGAGGCGGCGGCGCAGCCGGCGCGCTGCAGCAGGGACAGGGCGGCGAGCAGCGAGGTGATTTCCAACAGGTAACTCCACTCCATGCTCGGCGGCGCGCGGGCGGCGGCCCCGGCTCCTCTCCCGTCCCGCTCAGCAGCCGCGGGGAGCGCGGCGCCACAGCACCCCCCCGCCCCGGCTACCCCCGGGGGGGCGGCCCCCTCCGTGCCGGTCGCAGGTGAGAGGTCTCGCAGCCCCGCCGGACTCCGTCGTCCGCGGGCACCCGGTGAGGGGGAGCCCCCACTCGGAGATGGGGGTCGGCTCACAGGAGGCCCCTCAGCCGCCGTCGCATCGCTCCCCGCGGGGTCGGTTTCGCAGGGGAAGGCGCAGCTCCACTCGCCGCTGCTCCAGCGCCGGCCGGGCACGGGGCGGCGGCGGCAGAGAAGTTTCGCCGGCAGCCCCCGGGCGGCGCGGTGAAGCAGGCTGAGGCGTCCCGGAGACCAGGCGGTGCCGGGCTTCCACCGCCCCGAGCGGGCGGGCAGCGGCGGGGCCGGAGCTGGGGAGGCCGGAGCGGCTCCTTCTGCCGCCCGCCCGAGCGCACGGCCCCGCGGGTGACCGCCAGCCGGCCGGTGCTCGCCCCGCGCTGGGTCCCTCTCCGGCTGCCGGGCGCCCCGGCCGCGATCGCGCCACCTGAGCCGCGGGTCGAGCGCGGCAGCGCCTCCGCCAACTTCTCGCTCTCCGGCCCCGGCAGCGGCGCTCCGGCCGCCGCGCTCTCATGAATATTTATAGGGAGTGCCGCCAGGCTCCGCCCCCGCCGCATCGTCCGCCTATCAGCCGCGCTCGGGCGGGACGCGGGGGGCGGGCCCCGGGGCTCCTTAAGGTGGAGCCGGTGCCGGAATGTGGCGGTGGTGGGTGCTGCTGGGTCGCAGCGCTGCGGGGATGTGGCGGTGTTTGTTCGGCCCCTGCCCGTGCAGAGATGCGCGGCTCTGCACCGCGGTACGCGGCAGCCACGCACCGGCCTGGGCTGCGCAGGAGACCTCTGTCCCCCTGCAAGGGCTCCCGGCCAAGTCGCAGTCACCGCAGCCGCAGCTAAAGTAGCGCTTGGGGCGGTCTCGGAAGGGGTTTCTTATCACCCCGTTGCTGCCCGCGGGATTCGCCGCCCGTACGGGTGTGCGCGCTGCTCCATCCCCTTGCACGTGTTGGTGAGGGGGGTGGGAGCGCGGCGAAGCCGGGGGTCCCGGCAGCACTACAGCCGGCACCCGGCACCGCCGCCCCGGCTGCCCGCGGCCCCGGCGCGGAGCTCCGAGCCACGCGCGGTGCAAGCGCAGCGCTGGATGCTCCGCCCGGGGTCGGGGTCGCGGCGGGTGACGGGTGACACGGGGACCCCGAGGCGCGGACAGCCGCGGGTCACGGCGCTGTGCTCAGGCGGTGCCGCGTGTGCACCCCGGCCGGCGGCGGGAGGTCCCGGGGGGACGGCGGGGAGCAGCTCCGCGCCCCGGCAGGTGGACACTGGGCTCCTAGCCGGGCGCGACACGGCCGTAGCTCGGCGGCCGGCGCTGGGCGCACTCTACCCGCGGGACGTGGGCCCGCACCGCAGCGGCCACTGACCCACAGCCCCGGGGCAGCGCCGGAGGCCGGTCCTGGCTCCCGAGCGCCCGCGCCAGCCCGGCGCCGCGGCGGTGACTCGCCGAGCAGCCGCCGGCAGGCGCCCAGCGCGGCGTGTCCCGCCCGGGCCGGCAGAGGAGCCATCGGCGGCTGCTCGCCCGCTCGGCCGCCGCCGCCCCGCGCTGGGGAGCCCCCACCTCCACTCCGGGAGACCGCGGGGCGGCCGCGAGAGGAGTCGCCGGTTTCCTCCGCCCGCGGCGGGTAGGGGGCGGGCGGGAATTCCGGCGGCCCCGCCGTAGCCAGACCACCTTAAGGGGAGCGGCGGGCGCGGGCTGCGGGCGCGGCGGGGCCGTCCCGGGGGGCTGTGGCGCTGCCGGGCCGGGGCGTTTGTTTGTTAATTGCTGCGCCTGGCGCTCGCGCGGCGCTCCCGCTGCGGCACTAATGACTGGAACCGCGGGAACGCGGCGGGGCCCGTCCGCCGGCGGCGGGAATCGTGTGATTCGCGGGGAGGCACACGGAGAGAAGCGGGGCCGGGGGGAGCGAGCCCGCCCCGGGGGGCGGTGCGGGGCGCCCGAGGAGGAAATGGAACGCGTGAGGCCAAACAAGGAACAATCCCCGGGTTGCTGGCTGAGCCAACAGGCTGCTGTCGCCGGCGCTGTCGCCGTGTGAGCGAACGCGGGATTACCCCGTTAGGAGGAAATGGGCGATGATGGGGCGATAAACCCGCCCGCTGTGTAATCACAAGTGATTTGCAATTGACCGAGCGCCGCTCCCGACCCCGGCGCCCGGCCCAGGTCTCCCGGGACCGGGAAGCTCCGGGGGCCGTGGCCGCGCTCCTCCGGTGCTCGGACTGTGGAATGGTGCCGCTATTACACGCGCGGTGCTGTGTCTGACCGCAATCAGAACTTTTCCAGAAGTAGCAGGTGGTTATTTTAGCGCTAATTTAGTTAACGCCATTGTGAAAAGTGTTGCGAGATCGAACAATGCCCGGTGAAGAAAACCTCCGGCACAGGACTCAGTGATGGATAGAGGTTTCAAAAGTCTCTAGTCCTGGATGCGATGCTCCATTTTAAGAAGTGACTTTTTTTGCTGGTGGCTGCTTGAAGCGCACCTTATTTAAAAATCTCTACAGAATGTAAAATTGAGTGAGTCTAGTCGGGGGAGCCGGGCGAGTCTGTAAATTACCGCTCTGTCGGGATTCCTCTTGCCTGTTACAAAGTACCTTTTTATGCTGAACTTAAACTTTACACTACAGAGACAGCAGATGTGAGGTGATGGCTTCCAAAAGCAACACAGATGCTGTAAAATTTCCATTGCTATATTTCAGCGAGGAAGCTCAGGAGACATGCTGAATGCTGCAGTTTAGAATTACACTGTAACTCTCCTAGAAATAAGAGAATACCAAGTTACTCAACAGTACATTTGGCTTCATTTTTGCTGTCATTCATATGCTCTTGTTTTCTTACAGCAAGAAGAAGAGATGCAGCACAAAGATACTGTGTGTCTTGAAGCTGTTCAGTAATGACAGAATTGGTAATATGGAACTTTATGCCAATTTAGTAATGACTGCATATCCAAATTCCCTAGTAAGACCATGGTAATTTTTAAATTGTCTTTCAGGTATATAAAACAGCACAGCTGTGAGGAGGCTGCTTTGCTTTATGTGACTGAAAAGCAGCCTGGTTAGCTCAACACTGTGGAATCAGAGCCTATTGTGTGTTCCTCATACTTGGAGACTTCCCTGAAGTCCCTAGAAGTCCTGTGATGAAGGAATCAAGGGTCAAGTCTTTAAAATGGTTTGTGTGTTTATTCCAGAAAATTCAGCAGCTGCTTTTTCTGAAAAGCTGAACTTTGCTATAGCAATGCAGAATAATTTAGAGCACTTTTTTCCCCCGGGATTTCAAAGCAGATGTCCAGTCATCAAATCCTGCAGAAATATAAAGCTGGCGAGATTTTTACAGATATTATAACTTTTTAAAAAGTTACAGCTTCGACTTGTTGTCAAATCTAGTCACTTTGTGTCTAGTCTTTGTCACTACAGATCTTTGTTGCCACAAATACTCACGCCTCTTTTAGTCAAACAATTAGGTTTGGCACTGGCCCCTCTAACATAAGCCTAATTTTTCTGTGCATCTGAGGCTTTGCATTTGGGATTATATGGATCCCACCAAACCAGGTAATGGTAACTACAGGGCATTTAGTTCAAAATAAGTACATTTGCCTTTTTTTTTTTTTTTTTTTTTTTTTTTTTAACATGGAAGTAAAAATGCCACATGAAGAAATGCCACATGAAGTCTTGGATTTAACATGCCATTTTGTTTATATAAAAATAGAGATGTTTTGTTTATAAGATTTTAAAAAAAATTGCATTTTCATTCCCACTGAATGTTCTCCAGTAAATTTTAGTGTGGCATTGTCTGCATTGGATAGGTCACTGAATGGTGCTTTTATAAATGTGTTTGAAAAGAAGAACTTGGTCCATGGAAATTGTTCAAATAATCTTGTTAGAATGAAGCCTTGACTGAAGGCAGTAATTTCATGGATTAAACCCAGAAGGGCTGGCTAGGCTGATCTCTTTCCTATCACAGGCCACAGAGTTTGTGCAGAGACTGTCTAAGCAAATGCTGGTTAGCTGCGAGACATAGGGGATTTTGCATGGACAATACATTGAACAACACCATGAAACTGGAAACTTTGGAACTTTTTGAGGACAGGATAAATAGGAGCAGGAAGAAAGAGTATTTTTACAGGCCATTTAGTAAACACAGTGACGTAGAGTTGTTGCATCTAACGATGTTCAGATTTCCCCTAAAAAGTTCCAATTAAAGTTAAGGGAGACTGGTTTTTTTCCCCAGTCTATCCTTTTCTCTCACGTGCCATATGTGGTCCAGAACTGAGCAACATGATGGCACATCCAAGTATGGGGAGGAATTGCCTGGTTTGTACTTCTGCAAGTCCAAAAAGCACAAATTACAGGCAGAAATCCAGTGCTGTGAAACCTGAAGAGAAATAGGGATAGGAGAATACGGAGTGCATCTCTGTCTTACAGTTTGATATTTTTCCTTTTACAAAAATAAATAAATAAATGGCATTCATACATCTTCTGAGTCAGTGTACTTTATTGTGATTCATGAGAACTTTTTGTAGGCAAGAACAATGTTCTGCTTACATTTTTTTCAGGCATGTCAGATCTGCTCGGGGATGGGCACAGTACCATGGTGGTGCTACTGTTCAGTGAGATGTGAGAGAGACTTCAGAAAACAAGAAAATAGGTGAATACAATGTGCTGCAATAGCTACTCCTGGAGTGCAGTGAGCAGGTGACAGAGGAGGAGAAACTTCTGGAAGAGTACTCTGCTGTTGGTTTGTCATAAAGGATGATCACAGAGGGATTGATCAGTGCTGTGGTCTGAGTATTGCTCTGACAGTGAAGATGCAAGTTGTGGCCCTGAATGTGGCTGGAGGATTTTCTGCTGACTATGGGAACAGACCATGTTTAGATT